GAATAAACTTTGTCACCAATATTGTTCACACCCCATATGCGAATCAGTTTATACACGCAAATTAGGGGTGAATATCTAAGGTTTCCCTATCTTAGCAGCGATTGGTCGTAGAGAAATGCCTCTTTTTTATTTGTTTTGGTCTGGAATTTATAGTTTAAAGCATGCTGAACTGAATAAACTTTGTCCCAAATGTGTTAACGCTCCTGTTAATATGTAAATTAGCTTAAACATGCAAATTTGGTGTGGAAATATAGGTTTATATATCTTAGCAACAATTGTCATAAAGAATCCATTTTCCATCCATGTTCAGAATATGCATGTCACTATTTATTCTAATGAAATTTTGTGAAAAAATGATCAAAAATACCATTTTATCATCATCATCATCATCATCATCATCATAAATCGTAGCTTTATTTAACCACACTCAAATTTATGTTTTTCAGCATGCTGATTCCTGCAAAATTCTTCACTTTAATACAGGGGTGGGCATAAAATTCGGTCGGTCGTGGGCATAAAAATCGCTGTCGGGTTGCATGCGGGCCACACTTTTTGCTTTTTGCATTTTGTGCTGTATAAATGAATAACCTTTAGACCTGCTATTCCTTTTATGCATTTCCATAACAATTTTAAAATTATGCATAATGTTAAATAATAAAATATGTGGCAAAGACAATCCAAAAGCTGTAACTTCATAAAAAAATGTTGGTTTTTAAAACTTTTTCACCATTTTATAACTTTCGTTTGACTGTCTAATACTGTATTAATTTTTTTTCTTCTTTCTTTACCACAAAAACAGCTTATATTAATTATAAAATATTTATTTAAAAAAAAAGTTAATAGGAAAGTTCTATATTTCACAGCATAAACCATAGAAAACTGTATATTGTCATGGCAGACATAACAGGTAAAGAACTCATAAAGCAAGATGTAGCAGAAGGAAACCATGATTCAATGAATGAGTCACATGATGAGTATAACCAAGAAGTCCCTATAAAGACTATGTCTGAGACTAGTTCTTCAAAGATATCAGAGGACAGAGTTGACGATGACAGCAGTACACTTTTTTACTTCAATGATTATAGAGATGGTGGAGTAAGAAGCTCTGGATTGCATTCTGCACTGCTGTCGCAAACATCAATCTCAACAACAGATAGTGTGGTTGATACATGCGATCAACAGGAGGCCAATGCTTCAAATCTGCAGGAAGATGCTTCTGGTGATCATAGCAAAAATTCAGATATAGCTGAGGTAGAGTTGTTTGCTCCTCAATCTGATGTCAATAATGCTGATTCTAGAGTATCTCAAGAAAAAACACAAGAAGCCGATGTCCATTCAATTGAAGAAAGAAGTAAAGAAGGAAGACAAGACATCATTGAGAAGACATCATTTTATCCTGGATCTGAAAATGAAGAAAAATGCAATGCTAGTTTGGTAAACTGTATTGAAGATTCAGATGTCCATTCACTTAAAAAAAAAGAAAATGAAAGTGTAGACACCATTAAGTCTTCAATTCCAGGTCATCTTTTATTTGAAAATAATGAAAATCCCAATCATGTTGCAGTGGAAACTAATGGAGAAACGAATATACTATCACAAAACAAGGAAGAGGTTGATGAGTATAAATTTGATGAATTGAAGATAGACAAGGTTCCGAGGAAGGCATCAAGTAAGGTTAATCCTCTAGATACTGGAGTAAGATTTACAGGTGGAATTCAATGCTTCGATTGGTTTCATGGACAACCAAACAAAGATGAGGATAAGGATTTGGCATTTGAATTGTGTAAAAAACATGGCCGTCCACAATCGCTTTTTTGTATTGTGTGCGAACTTTCCTTATGTGACTCATTTGCATGTAGGTCTATTCATTTTGAGCATGCTGTGGAAGAAAAAGATGATATTTCTAACTCAGTAATGGTAAGTACACTTAATACATACAAGTTCTGTTGCTGGTATAAATTCATCAACATGTTTTCTTCTGTGTTTTCCAGATCTGACAGTACTTCTGACAATTCTGTCTCCAATTTCTCCTTCATTTCTAACATGTAAAGACAATTTTCTTGTCCTTATTTTCAATTAAGCAATAACTTAAATATGCAAAGTACTGGTAGGTATTTAAAATATTTAACTTTACACAAAGATATTACTATTGTCTTCTTATCAGGAAAAGTTGAAGACTACGCTGGACTACATAGATTCTGGTGAAAATATTGTGAAGTTCCTTGAAAGAACAGAAATTAAACAACAGTTTTTGGTGAGATAAAGATAATTTTAAGTTGTGATTTTTATTTCAGTATTTGCTTTTGT